ATACATACTTCTATATACACTAAGCCAGCTGAAATAGGATATTAAAAGGCAAGTGAAACTACTATTAAGGTTCTCTGTACACTAAGTAGGGAATTTAAATAGCAGCTGTTGGAATTAAACTACAGTGCAAGGACTTGCAGCAGAATGTCTACTCTGGGCTAAACTATGTTATACCTGGAGTCTGAGAGTGACCTCTATTTATTTAGAACAGAGTAGTTTCTGCACTTGCCTGAGCCCCATTCACACAGCTCAGGCAAGGTTGTGCTAGAACTACTACTGAAATGTAAATGGTGTTTGATATTGTCTATATTCCCACAACATGGCAGTTTGTAGAACAGCGTGACAGTGCCCTGTTATAACGTGGATTAGTCTCACCTTCACAGGCATGAGCAAACCGTGTTAGAACCATGTCACAAAGTAACGTTACTACCATGTTTCCCTGAATATAAGCTGACCCTGCCTATAAAACCACCCCCAATAATTAGCTTCTATACATGCAAAATTTATAAATGTGTTATAATTTTCCAGGTGTAGAATCTAATTATTGGAGGCTTGCCTTGAATTTGTCTTTCTCCGACTGCAACAGCAGGGAAACTAAATCTGGGAGGGTTCAGGTGGCTCTTGCCCCACAACTTCTTACCCGTGCAATCCCTTCTGCCCCCTGTACTGTCAGATCCTGCTCTCCCTTGAGCACATGGAGGTAATAAGCAAATTTGAAAGCACTGTCCTTGAAATAAACCTGTCTGTAGTAATTGGCATATAGGCATACATTTAGTAAGTGGCATAAATGTAGTAATTGGCATTTAGCCATGAATTTATTTAATACAGAACTGATACATTTTACCTATTTTGAAAGTGCTCTAAGTCTTAGCACAGGTACTCTATAAACACATTTTTAAGCACCACTTTTGTACCAAGTAATACACTACAAACTGTGAGTGATATTATCCTTAAGCCATAAGTCTCATAATTTACCACAGTTCTTTGGGCTAGGCCCCAACAGAGTGGATAGCATTTCAAGTTATGGTGACCCCATAACTCAGCACTGCTCAGTATGCGTGTGTCCTCCAGATACCCCCAACAAAGGAGTCATGTGCTAATTAGCACCCCGGGTGTTCTTGTCATGAGTCCTGGGATCCTCCAAAAAATGCAGATGGGAGGCAGAGCACCTTGGTCTGTCTCCACCCCATGGACAGCATGGCCACGTTAATCGCATGAGACAGGATGAGAGGGAGCTAGAGGGATTGTGGGTGAACTATTTGAGGCCCGATTTGGTTATGTTTGCCAGACATTTAAGGCTGGTGAAAAAACAGGAATCACTGGAAATGGGAAAGAAAGATGCAGCTGACTTGTAGGAATAAAGAGGAAGTTGAAATGTATTCAGTAGTGGTTTACCATGAACTGAAAAAATCAGTGATGAGGGGGACTGAGAGCAATGAGCTTATTCAGACAGGCTGCACGAACCTCTCAGCATGCCTGCCAAAGGGTTTGGAAGTATGTGAAGCCCCAGGCTGGGATGGAGGATACTTGCCAGTAGCAGGGCCACATATGGTTCTTGAATGATTCAAATGGATTTGGACCTGATCTGCCTAATTAGACCTGGGACATGAAGAACTTTCCTTAAAAAACACAACCCCCCCCCCCCACACACACACACACACTTACCTGGCAGGGGAAATACCATGACCACAAAGGTGATGGGGTAGTACCCTGACCAAGTAGGTGCCTTACCAATGGCTTTGTGTAGTGGAGGTAGCACCCTTGTCTGCTTGCGGACAGGACTCCCTATGAGAGCCTCATAGTTAGCTTCCCGCTGGCCAGCTTCCAGTGGGAGGATCTTAGCTGCACACCAACTTTATGAAAATGGGAGACTCCTCCCTAGCTTGCACCTGTGGCCATAGGGCTGAGGGCAAGTGAAACTTGGGGGCATGGGAACCCGAAGCCTCCGGGCTTGGGCCCAAATCAGGCTTGTCCAATATATGGCCCGTGGGCCACTATGCAACCTGCCAAGGTATTTTCTGAGGCCCAAGGTGCTGTGATGGGAAACGAAAGTAAATGCTGTTTGTTTTCGTTCCCACCCCTTCTCCCTCCCCCAGCCCCTCAGCAGCTTCCTAGTGGCTGCTTCCTAAAGGGACAAGGTTCCCACACGCACCGTGTCACCTTGACATTGCCAACAGTGCATGTGGGAAGAGGAGTAGCCATGTGCCTCTCGGGACAGGATGAGACCAGCTGGAGCAGCAGGGGCTCAGCTGCATTTTCCCCCTACCTGCGCCAGTCAGTCCTGAGTGGCACACGGCTCTGCTGCCACCTCTGCTGGTTGGTGCCGACCCGAATGGGTCCGTCCCATCCAGAGCAGCATGCAGCTGAAGCCAGATTCCCACATGCTGCTGGGGACGGGAGGAGGCCAGCCAGGTCAGCACCAGCCAGCAGAAGTGGCGGCCGAGCCATGTGCCGCTCAGGACGGGATGAGCCTGGCCAGAGAGGCAGGGCCTCGGCTGCATTTTCCCCCTGCCTGTACTGGTCAATCCCAAGCAGCACACAGCTCTGCCGCCACTTCTGCTGGCTGGTGCAGACCTGGCTGGCCTCCTCTCATCCCCAGCAGCACGTGGGAAGCCAGCACGGTGCGGGGGGCCTCAGCAGGCAGGGTCCTGGTGTGACTGCTGCAGGGTGAGGCAGCGGGAGCTGGTGTCTGCTGGACCCCAGGCTCGCAGCACCGAGGCCACCAGGGCTGCATGCACAGGAGGCCAGGCACCACGGTGAGCAGGGCTGTGCAGGCGGGCAGGTGAGGGGCTGCAGTGCAGCTGCCGCCTCGCTCCAGCCCCCCTCAGGCAGCACCAGCTCATGGGGCTGTGCTGCTCAGGGGATGGAGATGTGGAGCTATTTATTTCTCCCCTTCAGTTTCTGGGGCAGTAGCTGGCTGGATGCAGAATGGGTCCCTTCTGCCCCTACCACCGGCAGCTACCATGAACCTTGCAGTAACAGGCAGGTGCAGTAGGGCTGCACAGGCAGGGTCTCTCTGGCCCAGGACAGAGGGTGTTTGAACATGGCTTGCTGGCCCACTGGGTGATAAAAAGTTCATGATCCAGCCCCACATTCAAAAAGGCTGGACACTCCTGGCCTACACATACGGTGTTTGCCAAAGGATTTAGAAGTATCTGAAAATCCAGGCTGCGGTGGAGGATACTTGCCAGTAGTAGGGCCACATACGGTTCCTGAGTGATTCAAATGGATATGGACCTGATCTGGCTAATTTGACCTGGGACACAAAAGAATTGCCTTAAAATATTAATAAATAAAGAAATCAAAAAAATCTTAGTCTTCTAGATAAGCTCAAGCATTTTTGGCACCAAGGGTAGGGGATCAGGGCTGGCTCTGGCACTCCCAGTGCCAGCCTGGTATTGTAGTACCTTCAGGCCTGGTGCCAGTTCCCTGTGGAGAGAACACCTGCCCATTTTTAAGGGCTAAAGAATAAGGTTTCCATCAGCATTTTTGGCACCAGGGAAGGGTGTTGGAGCTTGCTCTAGTCTCTCCAAGTACTTGCCTGGTATTGCAATACCTCTAGGCCCAGTGCTCATTCGCTCCTGGGGGAACAACTGCCCTTTTTTTTTTTTTTGAGGACCACACACACACACAAAAAAAATGGTTCCTATCATTATGTTTGCCCAATATGAGCTGTGTGTTTATAGTCATGCTCAGTGCTGACTGCACTTGCTGGCTGCACTTTATCAGCTTCATAGCTGGTTTCCATTACTGAGTACAAACTGCTTTTAGTAGTAGTTTAATGACAGTCAGTGTATTTAATGAATATTCTAATATGTGAATGTAAGACAAGGAACTTCCCCCCCACACACACACGTTGACGGGGGATGGCAGGGAGGGGGAAGAATTTGTCTTATATTCAAGTAAATAAAGTATTCTGGAGCCAATCTCACCGCTGATTTAAGTCACCACTGATGTCCAATTTAGCATTAGTTAACCAGAAATCTGAATTTAACATATGTTCTATATTGGCACCTGTAACAGAATTAAAACACTTTGTTGTAGCATAAAAGATGGTTAAATATTAATAGGTAAAACCAAGGAATTTTATAACAGGAATTAGGGCAGGACCAAATATGAAATAATCCAGTGTCAACTAGGACTAAAAGACTGTTGTTCTTCCTTTCTTTAACAGAGTTGCTATAAAAGAAGCTGACACTATTCTAAGATAACCTAGTGCAACTTCTGGCTGCTCATCTCAGAGTGCAGAACAGAACAGGATGTTTTTCTTTTGCACTAAATTAGTGAGTGGTGTTGTAAACAAGAAAATACAAACTACATATCATTAAAAAATATGTACAGCTATATTTAACACTTAAATTATCTTAAACACACTTTTGCATACTAATAATTTTTATACATTCAGTCTTAAACAATGATCATTTAATATCCTAATATTTTTACAAGTTTTTCCCTCTTCCAATACCCAATGCTACTTAAACTCTGAGGCTGAAAAATTTGAGCTACATATAAAATAGGAAGGTGTCTTTATAGATGCAGTTTATCATAGCACATTTTTTATAAAAACACGTATTAATCAGTTCAAAAACCGAACCACTGCAGAGGTTGCATAAACCCTACAGGGTTCATTTTTAAAAGAATACTTTGGTTAACAGCAAATCATTTTTAAACAATTAAGGGGAAAATATTTTTATTTTTGTTACCATCTCTACAGATGCATCTCCTTGTCATGTGGTAGCCATCCATGTCTTTATGAATGAGCACTGCTGCAGTACAGCAGTGTTTCTCAACCCATGGGTCATGACCCAAATGTGGGTTGCAAAAGTATATGAAAGGATAATGAACAAACTTGAAAAATGGATTCACCTTTAAAGGAGAAAAACATGGGAAACTGTGGCCTTTCCCTTGCAGGCTGGCAGAGCTCCATCCTGCAAGGGGCTTCTTGGGAGCCCCACACACCCACCTTCTGCCCCACACACTGGGGGCTAGAGCCCGGAGGTGAGAGGCACTGGGTCAGGACTGGCCATTGATGTTTACAAATAGGTCCTGGTACAGAAAAGGTTGAGAACCACTGCAATAGAGAGCACTAATTTACCTGTACAGCGAACTCAGTAACTGGATTATAAACCAGATTTAATAAATTCCTAATGTAGTTCCCTGGGTATCAGAGAGCACATAGAGAAGCTACTGTCTATTCCTTACAAAGTTAAAGCTGCTGCAAGACTTGCTACAGCCCCACATCGTTGTACAAAAGTTTTTTCTCCCCTCTTGGCTTTCCTGGTTAGGAGAGCAGCTCAGGATTTTTGCTCAGCCTACATATTCTGCACACCAGGAGTCTGAAAAGCATCAAAGCATTCTAGTAACTGAAGTGCTACTGAACCTCATTGTAATGCAATGATTGCTTCTGCAAAGGTCATACAGATTTCAGGTCAGATGTGGCCTCTGAAATCACTGAAGCCTTACATTTCCAACAGCTAAATTCCCTCAATTCTGGGGCAGGTAGAGAAACAAGATCTTTATTTTTCCTCTTCATGTGATCAAACCCTTTCTGATCCAGTAAATTAGAGCCATCAAAAATCACAGAGAAGAGGAGACGTGTAGTGCTCTCCAGAAAAAGAGCATCACACCAGTCACTACATAATACTGGAGCTAAAAAGCAGAAAACTCTGAGGAGTGAAGGCACTTGGTAACAGATGAGCGTAGTCCATTAACAATAATCAATGAGTCAACAGTTTAAGTCTTGTAATCCAACTGACCAGTAGCGAGGGCTCTGTGGAGGAAGATTTTGTAGGTGACATAACAGAAGCTTTTTTAGCTCCTTCCTCCTGAAAAGGAATGGTTGCGCTGTTGTGAAGATCTGCATTTACAAAGCACCTGCTGCCTCTGATGTAGTCAGCACCCCTTATTAACTGCTTGTCAGCCACAGGCTTTGAAAATGGATGCTGGGTGGCAGAACTTTCTTCAATGATTGGTGGTATTCTCTCATTACTGAAGTACCTGCAGAGGACGTCTTCACCTGCGTTAAACATAAAGGATGAAATCACTTATTTTTCACTTTGAAATCCAGTATTTTGCATCTTTTTTAATTCTATTCAGAAGGGTTCAATGCACTTCATAAGTACTAATTCCAAAACTAACTTAAGAGGTAAGGGATTCCCATTTTAAATGTATTAACTGAGGTCCTGAGGGTTGTAAGTGACCTTCTCCTGGCCAAATCAGTGGCAAACCCAAGAAAAGAACCCAGGCAGTGATGACTGCCACCAAGATCTAAGCACTATACAAAGTCAGTGAGAGATATTTTTGGCAGACAGAAGGGTTATGCAGGATCCAAAAACAAAAGAACAATGTTGCTATAAATGGAACATTTGCAAGCAACATTTCACGTGAGTTAAAACTTAGATGACGCATAGTATGCTACTCAAGCAACATGAGCTTTTTCCCTTTCAACAGCATGAAAACAAACATACACTTACTCACATTTCATGTGTTCAGTTTAGAAACAGGAAATAAAATTACAATATACAGATACAATTTAAAACACTTTCTTATTTCTGATCCCCAACTTAGAGGGTGTTATCAGATCAGGTATATTTCAAAGCCTCCTAAAGTATAATCAAAGAGTAGTCCTGCCACCTGCTGCTCATCTGTTAGATCTGCTAATTAAGCAAGTCCTAGCAACTCCCATGCTTCCAGCTGCATCATATTGCAACATGATGAAATATATATTACCTCCTGTAACTGAGAAAGAACAGGTTACAAGTCATCTTATCAGCTTTTGTATTCTACATAGCTTCTTATATTAGCCTCAGCACTATGGTATCTGACCTTTGAGAAACAATAGGAAACATGCTAAACTGAGATGTGACCCAAGAATCAACATCCACTGGCATCAGACCAAGCATCTCAGCCATTCTGTACATGCTGCTTCAGGACCCATCACCTTCTAAAACTTGATCCCAATTCAAGGGCTCTTGCATACTCACTGCTCTATTTAGCAATAATTTATGTCACATTATAAAATGCTAATTGCCTGCTTCATTTTCTAGAAGCTTCCTTAAAAGACTCCTAATGGGACAATTTCACCCACAGCAATTGAAAAATAGTTTTCAAAATTTTAGAAGGGTTGTAATGACCCAACTTTTTTCAGACTTTTCACAGATACTTGCTGATTCTTGAATTGGTATTTTCAGAGGAAATGCAGAAGTATTTCTCACCTGTCTGATAGCAGTATACTGTATCTGGAGGGGTAAAAATTCTGTCAATTCTTTTTGTCTTTTCAATCTTGTGCAGTCCCTTTCCATGCCTAACCCTCAAATAATCATTCTCCAAAAGCTGTTCGTGTTGGACACTAACACAGTAACAGTAGTCAAAGTAGTCCCCAGAGAGTTTCTAGCTTGCTTCAGTAACAGCCCCCAATTCAGTTCAACAAACAGACCCTAATCAAGAAACAGCTTATTCTTCAACATTCGTAAGACAAATGTAAAAGACATGGGGAGAGAGTGTAAGAAAAATGTTTGCAGAGAGTAGTGCCAAATACAAGTAAGAACAGATTTAATTATTATAATTACTTGCAATCCTTAACTGAACTGCGTAAGAGAATAATGGAGGTTTCAGTTCAGGCGCAAAGTTATAAAAGTTAGAGAGAAACAGGGCTGGAAGAGACCTCCAGAGGACACCCTAGTTCAACCCCCTGCCTGAGGCAGAAGCATCCCTATCCAAGCCATCCCATACAACCATAATCTAAACCAGGGGGTAGGCAAAATATGGCCTACCAGACACTTCCATCTGACCCGCAGCACCCATCAACAAATTGTACCCCGCCTAGCCTTTCCACCCATGGGAGTGGGAGCAAGGCACCAAAGCATACACCCCCCTTCCTTCCCCCACGCCCCACCAATATACCCTATTGCACCTCACTCCCACCCTCATGGGTGGAAGGGCCCAGCCCCAACAGTGCACAGCTTCTGGGTGGGCTGCTGCTGCCCCTGCTGCAGCCACCCCATGGGAATCTGGTTGGCTTCCCCAGCTTCCAGCTCACTGTGGAGCAGCAGGTATGGAAGAGGAGGGGGTGGGGACCAGGGCAATGGCACTGCAGCTAGGCAGAAGCGTGGAGAACAGGGGGGCAACAGGAGCATGTAGCTTAGCTGGGAAGGGAGTGGGTGTGAAGGAGGGTGGGGAGACCCCTCACACGGCTTGCAGCCCTCACTGCCAGCAGCAACAGCAGGTGGGGCGCTCAGGGTGCTTGTGTCCAGGGCAGATGCTAGCACCTGGTGGGATGCGACTCTAGCCAGTGCTGCCCATGGGTCAAGGAGCACAGCCTGCCCAGCTGCCTCTATCACAGAAGCTCCATGCAATGCACCTGCAACTCCCAAACTCGCATCAAGGGAAGCCCCATGGCTTCTCCCACTTGCACTGGGGAACTCTGCAGGGAAGCAGGGGGCAGAGTCTGGGGACTGGTGCAGCAGGGGGTGGGTAAGGCAGCCTGTTTCAGTGTGGGTCTTCTTCCCCCATGCAAGTGCAGGAGCTGCAGGCATACAACATAAAGCCCCCTGACAGAGGTGGCTGGGCAGGCTGTGCTCCTCACCCCCATGCACAGCGCTGGCCGGAGCTGCACCCCACCAGGTGCCAGTGCTTGAGCCCCCACCTGCTGCCCTCCCTTCCACCCCACAAACCTCACACAGTCACACCCTGCCCCCACAACCTCCACTAAGATATG